TCGTTCGTTGCTCGTATGTATCCGTTTTATGAACACGAAACGCAACTCAAAGTTGCGTACAGCTGTTGCGTGTCATTCAACGCTACGCATATTCTCTTCTGTGCGTTGTCCAGATCCGGATCTCGCGTATCTCAGATTCGTCCCAAGATCCTTAGAATCGCCAGATTTCGTGAACTTTCATTATGGAGTTTAATATATTTAGATCCGCTAAGATTGTTTTATCGGAGCCCTGACATCGCTTTATGAATTTTATTACTAATTGAAAAATTAAGTTCACGTTATTGAGATATTGCTGAAAGGTACGCTTACATTTGTTGACATAACTGACTCGTGTGTGATAATTAATATTTTATTATACATTTTAGTATGCTTTAGTATAATGCTTTAGTATAATGCTTTAGTATAATGCTTTAGTATCGCGCTCAGTATATAATACGTTGCTAGTTGAATCCGCTATCGTGTTTGTTTGGATAAAATGGATCTGATGTTTACGTTGAATATGTCAAACTGCGTTATGTAAAACGTACGTTTCTGAGAATGAAGAGAATTCGAAGGATTTGAACGAGAGTTCAAAGAAGAACTAAATAATATCTCTCAAGTTTCGATTTCACCGTAAATTAGTCAAGAAGCACGGACATAAAAAAACATAATTAGCAAAACTCATAATTAACTTAATCAATTTAAATTAATTAATTTATTAATTGATATTCTGTGAATCGCCGTTTCAGAAATTTTTATAATGAAAATGAAAAATATAATTGAAACTGGATAAGAGTTGGAGCAAATAAGAATTTCATTGCATTTCCAAAAATTTCATCTTTATTATTTTTTCTTCTATATATATCATGTAAAATTATGATCAGTAAAATTATGATCTGAAAAAATCAAGAGAGTTAAGTTAACAAATATATTAAAAATAGAAACGGAAGTATATTTCTTCTTCAACTAAAGCACCATTTATAATAATTATTATCAAGAGAAAATATACGAATTGGATAAGAAATATGTG